CCATCGGGCAGCAGTAACCTGAAAACCAGGACTCTGAGCACTGCCCTTGGTTTCAACATGGCGTAACAGAACAGCGTTCACTGGGGCAATAATGCGACTGAGGGGGGCTGGCGCTGACCTGGCTGACGCTGTCCAGCTTGACCTTGCGGTTCTTGAGGCTCCTGTTGGGCAGCAGTAACCGGGCGGAGGCGGCCTCCTCGACCGTTCTGCACGTGGCACCGATAAGAGTTTAGCAGGACTGTAAGCAGCAGGAAGAAAGACGCTCGGCCAAATATGCTCACAAGATGCGCCAGTGCGCGTGAGGTGAGCTGCTGTTACTGGAGCGCACATGTGGCAATGTCTTATTTCATGGCTGGACTTTGACGGCATCCATAACAAACTTGAGCATGCACCAACGAAATCGAGTAAAGACGGACGCTGACGCAGCGACCTCTGGCCAACTTGGCTGCGAACAGAACAAGACCAAGCCGCTGCTCCCTGTCAGAAACAGGAGGAAAGCTAAAAGCTTGCGCCTATTCACAGTTTCACGCTGACGTCAGCTTCTATTGATCATGTTCCCTGCTGAAAGCTTTCTCACGGGCGCGCTTACCTCATGGTGACGAACGCAATTTCCCTGCCCCGGAAGCGCGTCATCTCCTCCACCATGCCATACTCCCACAGCAGGCTCCGAATCTCCTCGTCGTCCGCACGACCGTCCACGTCCTCCAGCACCAGATGCCGCGTCGGCTGCAGCGCAAAAGGATGTGTATCACTGTCTCCCTCAGATGGAAAGCTCCAGACTGCAAGCAATGAATGTGTGACAGTGCTGCCGGCACAGAGAGCTATTGACAGAGTATCGACATGCACCAGATACTACGACGTCCGCTCTGCAAATTGTGAGTAATTTTCCGGAAACAATTCAGCATTTGGCTGGGACGCCAAGACAGCGTCAGAATCTTGCGTTTGAAAAGGGAACCCAGCTTCTCGAGATCCTCTGGTTGCCCCTTTTAAATGGGTCCCTCACCTCCGTATCCCGGATACGGATCGAGTCCAGCGCCAGCGAGAATGGGTCTTTGGGCCGCTCTTGGAACCCAGGGGCGCTTGGAGTCGTGGCCGTCCCGCCAGGGCCCCTGTGTAGCTCCTGGGTAGAAAGGAAACAAGTCGATGTGAAAGTGGGTACCGCGGGAGATCTTCAAAACCGCTCACAGTATGCTGCATCCCATCATCGAAAGACAAAGCATTGTCTGATGTCGAACCTACCGCCACACGGGCTCCCGCAGAGTAGACACCGTGCGACACAGGTCCTTGCCTACTTGGACTTCCAATGCGCCCTGCATCCGGCCCTTCCTTCTTTATTATTTCCAGCAAACAAAAAAGGGACGAGAGGCCGACCGAAGGCAATGCCCGTTTCCAAGCCGACATTCCCACGTTTCCGCAGCCTGAAGGGAAGCAACTCCTACCGGAAAGTCCTCTTGGGGCTGCCTGTGGACCACCGGAACCGGTCCGTGCATGGGGGGTCCGTGCATGTGCGGTCCGTGCATCGGCAGTTCCGTGCATCGGCGGTCCGTGCGAGTCG